GTGTGTCGCATGCCCATACGTAGTCTGTTCTTGTAATTACGCAGTTCAGACTTAACGCATGCTCGGATCGCTGAGACATAAACGTAGGCTGGCTGTGTGCGGGGTGATTGATTATCACAAGTGGCTGTCCACATCTTCGAAAATTGCTGACGTCAGAAGCGAGCCAAGTCGCGAATTGATTGAACCCAAATGAGAACTCAATCAATTGATCTGGTTTCTGCGTACAGAGTACAGCGAGGTCACTTCTAGGCCTAAAACACTGGTCGTTGATTACCTGATATGACCGATTACTTAGTGCTTCTGCTCCTCTCGTCCACGTTGGACTACTGTGCGACTTCGAAAGCTCACTAAGGTGTACTAATGATTCTTGTGCTAAACCAGCTCACAACTAGCGCTTTTTGCCCGCGCATGTGAGGTTACGGATGGGTTTTAGCTGTCATCCATATTTTGCAAACAAGAAACACCATTTGCGCTTTTTCAAGCCGAAAACTGGCTAAAGTTGACAGGGGGGGTTAGCTTGAACTGTGACTGCCGATTTGTGCTTTTGCTGACTTAAATTTCACTTTTAATGTTTGTAGATGTGCATGGCGTTTGTGGTTTATTAGGCCAGAAAGGGTCGGGACAATGATACAACTTTGGTTTCGAGTGCGGTTCACCCACATTCTCCTATCACTTGACTGGGATCAAAAGCCCAGGGATATTAATTCTTATTTTGGGATGCAGGATCATGCATATTGTGCTTATTGTTGTAATCAACTTCGTGTCCCTGATCAAGCATTCGAACCTCGCTTCAACAAATCCACAGAGCCCGAAGACTAGTTCTACGGTGTAAGGGAACAAAATGGCCTATTTCTAGAATTTCAACCGGAAACTCTGCACGTTGAGCGGCCGTCAAGGGACCTTTGCTGGCTTTGTGGCACTCACGATTCCTGCATTTGCCCTTGAAGACAAAGATGGTTTAGTATGAAGAAGTCTTCTTGTTGGTTTTCAAAAAAACTCTGTTTTGGCGGAATGCTCGCAATATTAAATTATTTCAGAAGAGCAAAGCTCTTCTGCCCACGGACCTACGGTGTGCGTGCGGCGGTAGGATGGCCCTACAAATCCTCACCCAGAATGGTGATAGATATGTCTTCCGGTGCGTGAAGTGCCACAGGAAGAAGTCGGTGCGGTCCAATTCCATTTTTTTGGGCAGCCGGTTAACATTGCGGAAGTTGGCGAACATGTGCCTGGC